TAAAGCCCTCTGAGGCACATTTGTAATTTGCGATTTGTGGCTATACAAAATAAAATGAATTGAATATCAGCAGCAGAACTATAAAGACGGACAGATATTCACAGCTACTTCTCGTGTTTACAATTACAAGCAACTGTCATGTCAGAGACTTCCTACCTGTGATTCTCAGGCCCATTGACGCAATCCTCTTGTTCCCGGGGTACAACTCAGCTCTCAGCCAAGGGCCAATTATAGGGCCAACATATTCTGGTTCAAAATGACTGTATTGTGATTTATTCAACATATATTTATTTTAAGATTCACAAGGAAGCTAATTTGGATCATAATGATTACAACTAATCTTATATTTAATTAGTTTTATGTTCTTAAAGACTGATAGTCACAATAAAACCAACTGTATGTGTTCCACCTGCCAGGAGAGAGTCTATTACATTTGTGGAGCAGATTAAAATGATCTTTTTCTGATTTGTGGCTTGTGTTTCTTCTTTCCTGTTGTTGAGCTTCAGTGTGTGCGACTGATTGCATCACTAGATGGAGCCACAGATCCATCAAGGTTCATGGGAATCATCGACAAACCAGCAGCTGCTTCCATGGACCTTTAGATCATCCCACAGCGTGTGTGTGTGTGTGTGTGTGTGTGTGTGTGTGTGTGTGTGTGTAGCTCTTGGAACTTGCACAGCTTGCAGAAAAATGTGCTGAAACAAATGAGGATTCTTGCAGCTGTTCTTAATATCAAAAGCATTGTTTGCTCAGTGAGTAGCACCAGCAGAACATGTAACAGGATTCATGACTGATGTATGAAGGTACATTTGGATCTGGATCTATATGTGGATTGAAGGATTCTAGTGAAAACATAGAAACACATCATCGGCTTTGTAATTCCCTTGACCAGTACGTCAGCCCATTTCCATCACAGCCCCAATGTGCTCTAAACCGATCATCCGTTTGCTTCCATAACTTTCCCATGACGCATGAGGATCTGTGTATGCAAAAGGTTGTGTGTACACAAAGGATTGACGCGCACGCAGTCAAACTAAGAGGCAGCGATTGAGCACGGCTAGAAATATTCCAAGATGAGGCAACGACGCCAATGTCATTCCCCGATGGCTTCTAGGACTGTGCAGACGTAACTTAAAGCATTATTAATAATAATGATACCTAGCTGGACTGTAACATGGGTGAAGGCGAAAGAGAAAGCTGACTAGTTTGGCAGTCTCTGTTGTTTATGCTCGACTAATAATTGTCGGGAGTATATCGGAGTCTCACTGTCTCTTTCTGTTCATAGAAACCGAGCATTTATCTTCCATGCTGAGAGTTCACTTTCCATTTGACGTGTTTATGATGGAGATTAGGACCTGACAGCCCCCATCGAGCTCACTTCCACCGCACAAACAGATCATCAACGCACATCTGACTAAGTAGAGACGGCAGCACGGTGCAATGAGAGGGATGCAGTCTCCACCAGGAGCGGTGTTGTTGAATATGTATATTTAGTTCCATCTGACGACCGTGGATAGTCCTATTTGTGGTTTAGCAGAAGCTGAAGTAAAAGGAGCATTTATTCCAACAGGTGCTGGCTTATAAAAAGATATCCAAGGCACGCAGGTAAAAACCATGCCGTCCCTGAATGAGTTCCTCAAAAGGTTCCCCTTCTCTGGGGAACCACTGTCCACTGTCCCAGCATGCAACACAGGTGTGAAAACGCCCCCTGTGTGATGTTTCCTATTTCTTTAACAAGAACACATTTGGTTTAAAGAGCTTCCCGTCACAAGAATAACACGGAACAGTTTGTTTAAAGGTTCCTCGTTCCACCTGATCGACTTCCCTTTATAAGTGTGAGAAGAACCTGAGGTTGAGTAAACAAGATGAAGTCAGGTCGTAGCGATAATCGGAATGGGAACCCTAGAGAGCTTTCATGGTCTGAAAGGATCTCCTCCCCCCCGAGGTCGAGGCTCAGGTGAGTCTCATCTGGCCGACGACCCTCACCAGGGACGAGACTGTGGGAGGAGGTTGGTGGTATCAGCTGCACACGTCGAGCAGTGATGGGGCCCTCCGACTCACCTCGCCAGTCTGCCGTGTCGTAATGTGTGGTTGTTAACTGTTAAATTGTTAACGACATTGCCGGCTGTTTCCAATAATGAGCATTGGGGCGTTGGAATGTTGTAGCCGGGCAACCGGTCTACCGAGTCCAGCTCAGCAGCTCAGAGGTGTTACATCCACAGCACAGCCAAAGGTTGTTGACAACTCTGTGGCAGCGACTCAACGTAGAGGTGGGAAACTACTGGGGGTGGTTTTACAGAGCACAATTACTTACCGTGTTCTTGAAATATTCCTGAAATGGATATATCAGAATGTAGATCAGGTCTGATGCTTGTGGCGCTTGGTCATTCTTCTGCTGTTGTGTCATTTTTTGCCATCAATCAAATTGCTTGTTTGGGAAACTTTAAAACATGTGACATTTTCTACAGACCAGGAGGCGGAACGAGCTGCTTCGAGCGCTTCGATTTCTTTCAGGAAAATGCTCTATTTTGTTTTCAGAACCTTTGACCAAATATTTGAGTGTGACGCTGATGAATGGTGACCTTCGTGGCTTTGCAGATGGGTCTGATGTCACACAGTAGGCTCCTTTCAGCCGGCCGCTGTGCGCAATCGAGGTTTGAGCCGCTATCAGCCGCATTATCTCCCGAATTTACCAAACAAATTCTTTCAGCTGACATGCATATGTATATTTAGCTGCATTTGCCTTTTCGTCAATGGTTTCTATTTGCGTCCTCGGGGGTCATTGTGTATGATGTCTTTTTGTATTGTTTCTTTTAGCTTTCACCGTGAGCAGTTTTTACATCACATGTCATTTAGCTCAGTGGTCCCCAACCACCGAAAGCACCACAGAAAGCTTATATATATATTTTTTTTTTTTTCTGAAAAATGTTTTATTTTGAAAATTGACCAGATTTTCTCCTAATTATGTGCGCTCGTCCCTCTGACAGATTCCCCACTCGTCACCTTTTTCTTCTCAGAGCGCGCGACTGACAAAGAAAATATACGTTTATCAGCAGCTGCTTTGTTTGTGTTCATGTTCACAATGTGGAATTCCCAAGTCAGCTGCAGAACAACTTCATTTCACCAGAACATGAATGAAACCTCGTTGTTCTGTGAGGCAGAGGAATGGAAAAGTCCAGTGTGTGACTGCGGTGCCTCAGCCTGCAGATTATAGAAGTCACTCCCAGAGAATTCAGTAGCACACTTTGTTTGTGCTACGTTCTATATTTTCTTTCGTGTAGAGGACCTCAATGCCTGTTGATAAAGGGAATTCATTGACTAGATGATGCAATAAAAACATTGGCACTAAAGCTGCATCTGATGTGTGGTGTCAGCAACTCCAACCGCTGTCCACGCAGACAAATGATGTATGTCATAAAAGCAAAACACTGGAGTGAACGTGTCCTCTGTATATTCCTGCCATAATTTACATGTTTGGGAATAAAAACAGCGGTTTTAGAGAGCGGCGGACGGGAAGGTCAAATGTTCCGGGCAGATGCTGCGCTGGGATTGCCGCTTTGCCTTTTTCTGTGGGACTTAACGAGGGGTCAACTGGCGCCTCCGAACTTCCCCTTTAGGTGTGAATGAGACTGAATCTTTGACTTTATACTGAGAGGAACAAGTATCGATGATGATGATGATGATGATGATGATGATGATGATTGGGACAACCTTGATGGGACAAGCCAAGAGACTAAAACGATTCAAACCTTCAGAACAAGAAATATGAGGATCTACAGCCGTTCATGTGCGCCAGAGGTGGAACCTTTAAAAGAAAACAGGTTTTCAACACTAGTGGTACTGCTGTTTTTTTCCTGGTTTATTGTAAAACGCTCAATGATTCAGTGAGGAACAAAAACAATTACAGGAAGAGAACAAAAGAAAAGAGGAAGCTAATGACTGACTAGGAATCCAGGCTGTAGCATCAGGAAGAACATGTAACTGCTGTCCTTTATTCTCTCACAGCTGCACAGTCACAGCACACGGCACCGCCAGAGCACGTGTGTTCAGTACTTCCACAGGTACCTCGCATTGAGCCATAAAGGCTTTCTGAGCAGGAAGTCGAAAGCCTTACTGTGCGCTTCCATGCAAGGCGGCTTCCTCCCTCTGTGGTGGTTTCCACTGATGTGATTCCTGGTACGGAGGCGTTTGGGGAATACAGTAAGCTGCAGTGTTTGCTGAATCTGTGTAAACCCCCCCACACACACACACACACACATCTGAATTCTTTGCTTCCAGCAGCCGTCTCTCCAGGAACATGTTTATCAGAGTGCTTTGTGGCTGACGGTCAAACATCGAGGGGTACTTTAAATTGGTTTTCCGGTGGAAATCTTTTCTTCAACAACAAAATTAGGTGAAGAGTTTAAAGAATGAGGCTAAAGAAAGAAGCATATTTTGAAAAAAGAAAGAATAAAGGTCAATGCACTTACACAACCAGTGTGATTCACTTTAGACCAAAATAAAGTGCTGACTCAGCATCACTCGGTGGTCTGAAACCTCCTCACTTCCTCCCCCTTCATACCTCATGGTCAGCTATTATGCGGATTACATACAAGTCGATGCTGTGGAATGTATACGATTCACAAACACAGCGTGTAGAAACATTCTGAATAAACTATAATTACATAAAGATTATACACAACCGCATTTATGGGACAAGTATTTGTGAAGCACAATGACATTGGGTTTACTTTGTTACTTTTTTAAGTCTGTGACCAAAAAATCCCCTTCGAGTGGATTATTGTAAAATCTGGAGACAATTGAACCCGATGTGCTCAAAGTGGCTTCGCAATTGTGAGATTGAGCGTATTCATCACAAAGCAGTGTGTGGCTTTTTTGTTGGGTAAAGTTGGGCTTACAATGACACGTAGGGTCTTTCCACCCTTTGGACATATCTGTAGAAACTCTGAAGACACATCATGACACATTATGACACATGCAGTAAGTCAGAAGCAATTCCATTGACACATCACACATAGCTTTATCTTTATTTGACCAATGTGTTTTCAGTTTCACACCTGACAATGACTATAAAGCTACATCCACTCAAAATGATAATCCAAACCTACATAACAATATTTTTACATTATTTAAAGGAGCAGTGTGTACAGGGGATTTATTAGCAGACATTGAATAAACTAGACATTACTATGTTGTAGAGTGCTTCACATGATGCATTTACAGTCTGCGTGAGCAGATGGACTGAGATGGCTTCTTTTGTAAAAGACCGTCTGAAGTGTTATTTTGTAATAAATCTATCTCAGATTTGTAAAAGAGCAGCGAAGATATATTCAATTACACACAGTTTAACTAAAGGTACTTGCACTTGTAGAGAGAATTGGGTGTCATCTGCATATTGTGATAGCGTTTAATATTTTGTATAATTTTAGCTGAAAAAAAGCATGTCAATGTTAAATGAAAGAGGCCCATGGGTTGAGCCTTGGGGAACTCCGTAACTTATATTAGTCCACTCAGATGTAACAAAGCGACACCTGACAGGTAAATTTAAAGCACTTTCAGGATAAGTCTAATAGTCCTCCCTAGCTTGCATGTGTAGTAATATTGTATCTCGCTATGCTTTTCTGCTCTTACCTTGTCTCTGTTTCTTATGACACAGTTAATACTAAACAATGAAAAAGGGAATTGCGAATGAATTTATTTGACATTTCCTTTAATAATGCATCATTCAAGCACCACACATCCTCCGGATAAACTTGCACACAGCTCTACGCATTTCATATATCATGAAAAAGCAAGCGCTAATCTACCTTTTCCTTCACCTTACCTCGTTTCTATAAATAGCACAATAAATTAAGTTCACGTATTTAGCTGAGACACATGTTTAACTGCACACATAGGAAGAGGTAGGTGTAACAAAGGCCGGACCTTTTTACTCATTAAAGGGTAATGCAAGTGGTGGTTTTGGTTGGTAGAATAGACGTTACAGGTGCCAATTGTTCAGGTTCTCCATCTGTTTTCAATCCCAGAAACAAAACAGATTTGTGTGTTCTGGTGGATAATAAGTGTCTTTGCAGCAAATGCAGACCTTGGACAATCAGTACAATTAAATACCCAAAAATGTACAAACCAACAAAAAGGAATGATGCACCAAAAGCAGTGATTACAGTGATAAGTCATTAATTCTATCAGCAACTATTTGCCTTATTGAGCAACGTTCTCCTGTAACAAATGAAAAAGGTACCACAGCCACAGGGCAGCAACTTTTCACGTTCCAAGGAACACTGTACCAGTCAGACTCCTTTGTATCTGTAACTTGGCACCGTCTGCCTCGGGCTACTGCACGATATTGTCCACCTCGTTCCTGGAATCATTCAGCTCGCTCAGGCTCCACTCGATCCTCTGCAGCTTGCTCAGTAATCTGTGGCCGGCGCCGTCCGCTCCGCTTCTGGTGAGAGCGGCGGGGAGCTGGCGGATTTGTGCCGCCGTGGCCGACGCCACCCACGCGTTGATCCGCGCCTGGTGGTCCGAGAGGCCGAGTCCCGAAGCTCCGTGGTTTTTACCGCTCTCAGACGGGAGCCTGTTTAAAATCCGACGCAGACGTCTGGGGTGGATCTTCTGGTGGACGAAGAAAGCCGGCAGGATTTCTCTCAGGTAGTCGCCTGCGTCTGTGAGAAATAAACGATTGATCAGAAACTGATGAGGAATCATGACAAAACTCATGAGCAAATTACAACTGGCAATGAAATTATTTGACATTTTAGGAGTTTTGTTTTGGTTTTCCTCTAAATTAAAAACTAGCTTTAAACACAGACCTCAAAATGAGTCGGTCTGTGAATTTGAACTTGTGTATTGTATGGTTTCCCTCAGTGGGGCCACTAGAACTAATGACAATAGGACGTGCTGCACAGGGAAAGAGGAGGACATATCACAGCCCCTCACCTTTGCAGCTGAGCCCTTTGCAGCTCGTGCACACGCTGTCGTGCCAGCTGGAGCCCTTCAGCACCATCTGCATCCCCGGAGCGTCGCAGCCTCGGTGCAGCGTGCACTCGTGCAGGGCGGAGACCGTGTCTGAGTAGGTGCCGTTGGGACAAACCTGGCACACGGTGTCCTCGTCGGCTGTACCTGGAGCAGGCCAAGAGAGTTTGTGAAGGTCAGCGCCGAATCTTTACCTCCAACAAATGTGACGTCGTCGGCTCATCGGTGGGCTTGTGAACGCGCCCCCATCCCACATCCCACGGAATGTTCTTTCTGTGTGTTTGGGAACACTGCCAATGTGGCACGGTGTAGTTCCAGCTGTTTGCCCCTGGGGGGCAGTAAAGGGCTCTTACTCATCCTCTCAGATCCAGTCTAGTCGTGCTGTAATGTCTGTAATGCGTCTGTTCCCACTTTAACAGTGAACAGGTACCAACAACACGCGCATCTGATGGGTTCGTCACTGCTGTTGTCATGGTAACGGACCACGCTGCCCGTGTTTATGGGCTGATGAGAATCAGATTCATAAGGAGGTACGTTTACATTTTGTGTGTGGAGATCAGGAGATAAATGTAAGACATAATCAGTGCCCCCCCCCCCCCATCAACACCTGTAAATGTTCTGTTCCAGTTCCTATGGACCCCCCCAGCCGCCCTCCCGCCCTGGCGTCCGCAGCATCAGCCTACCTCGGGTCAGCACCTCGTGCCCGGAACGCGACTCGCTGTGTCGGGCGCCCATGTCGAACTCCGCCCTGTGGTAGTGCCCCTGTTTGCACCTCGCATTGGCAGTCGGTGTGCGCGGCGCACGGCGTCTTCATCACTTGATCGTGGCCGCACACGCCGCAGCGCAGACACTTGCCGATGTAGTTCCACAGCTCCGTGAACGAGCCCGGCGGGCACTGCGCGCACACGCTCTTGCTCGTCGCCGTGCAGGTCGATCGCAGGTAGGACCCCGGTGGGCAGCGGTCGCACTCCACCGGGGCGCCGGTGACCGGGTCGGTGTCCCGGTAGGTCGGGACCGGAGCGGCGTCGCCGCGCACCGGAGCGGCGCGCGCGCAGAGCAGCAGCAGCAGCAGCAGCGGCGGGAGAAGTGACGGACACATCTGGAAGGGAGGAGGGAACAGGAAAGGATGGAAGGAAAAACGACATCAAGGAAATACGTCGATACAAATAAAGTCTCCTATTTCACTACACGAATGAAACATACGTGTTATTAATATTCACCAAAAGAGACAATAAAACATGACACCGCGCGCACCTCCACCTACCGTCGTAAACTGGTGCAGTCTGCCAGGAGGATGGCGCTCTCTCCACCTGCCGCAGCTCTATTTAACGGCCTGCAGCTCTGACGTTTCGGGGGAAACCCTCACTGACTGATTCATCTGTTCATCTCAGCAGAGGTCGTGATTACTTCCTCTGTCCGCCTTTTCCTTCATAAAGGTCTCACTGCTCAGCAGAGCTCAACGATTACAAACCCTGTCGGCATCAAACACGTGCAGCACTGTTTTATTTCAATACCTATTTGAACGGAAATGTGTTTTTTAGGTGCATGATGCTACTCTGTGTACAGCCTGTGCCTTTTATCTGTGATAAAATGCAACTCGTGTTAGATCAGTGCTTTTCTGTCAAAGAAAAATGGAACAAAATAGTCCCTGCAGAATTTGTATTGCAATAACGACCTTTTGTGACCTCGTGTGCTTTTATTAATAATAGAATAAAGAAAAGTCACTGAAAGTCACTTTCATGTAACCGCCACAAGTCTTTTTCCTTTTTTTCCTTTTTTTAACTGAAAACTTAAGTTGAATTAACACAAACACGTCTCGAAGGAGTCAACACAAAGCAGTACTGCGAGTTTAACCAGGTTCAACTTGAACAACTTGTCAGAGCTCTTTGAGTGACAGAGAAGAAGTAAGTGGACGTAACTTAACAGGGCTGTGATGTTCTACATGCGGTTCGTGCTTCACAGCAGCACACTGCTCCTTAATCACTACGGATGCGTAAATGTGGGATTAATTAAGTATTAGAAATGAAATAATAACATATTTTTTTAATTTCATTTCTTTTTTTAATTAAATTTTCTTTTTCTTTTCTTTTTTTAAATAATAAAAAAAAACCTCGCCCCCACCTGTAGTTCCTCCCCCCACAGTACCCTGTTAGATGTTGCTGGTTTTGGATCGTAGTAGTTCCCATTGAGTGGGTGCACTGTGGTGTGCAGGGACACAGAGCGGATGAACCATGAGGAACATCTTGTGTACTAAAGCTTTCATTGCCTTTAGATGTTTGTCCTTTAAGCCTGATGTATTTCCCCTTTTTCACAGCGCGGTGTCCTCCCCCATGCACCCCCCCCCCCCCTCGGAGTGACCCCATGAATAACAGCGATGTTGTCATGGTGTGAGGTTGGAGGCAGGACTCAAGATGCAGAGTTTAAAACAAAAGGGACTTTAATTGTCAAAACGTTAAAGCAAAGTCCAAGGGGCAAAAACACACAGGATCCAGGGGAAAAACAGCAGGCAGGAAACTCCGCGACGAAAGACAAGGACATGCGTGGCGAAAGACAATGACGCGACAAGTGACACAGGAGACACGCTGCTTAAATACACAAGGGAGGTGCAGGTGATTGGACACAGGTGGAAACTATTAAGACGATCACAGGGGACAACGGGACAAGGCAGGAAGTGAAGTAACCCGGGGACACAAGTGGCAGAAAACTACAAAATATAACATGAAGTGAACCACACCGTGACAGATGTCACGTCTGTCGGACAGCCGATGTCATTACGAGCACGTGAATGTGCTCCTCCGTCGAGGCGCCGGCGCTGCTCCCTGACCTCTGGCCGACCTTCGCTCTCTGAGCGGGGGTCTGACTGAGTAACCGTCTGGAGGGAACTCAAGAGGCTTTTTCCCACCACTCGTACGCGGTGAGTTTCTGGTGACTCGTTAGACTCGAAACGCCGCCAAACAAACCCACCTGGAAACAAACCTTCCAGCATGAGTGTCGAGGTCAGGGTCCCAAGTGGGACCTCGTTCTGTGTAAACTGCCGTTGACGTCGTCTCCAAATAAACCGCTTTAAACGGCGAGGGCCGTGTTCACTCAGGGGAGGTTCTCCTCTATTGTTCCCGACCTCACGGTGGCGTGGGAGGCTTCATGGGTCCCAGGGACCCGCTCAGTGGGACCAGGAGGACGACGCCACGTTAACGGATGATTGATTCTCCTCGGGTGCAAATGTCAGAGCTTCACTTTCACATTTAGGATGGAGGAAGAAAGTAAATGATTCTACTTCTTTCCAAACAGGGAGACATTACATTTTTGTTTTCTTTTAGTTGTTGTTCCTAACTGGGGGAAGAAAGTATTTTAACGTGTATTTGGTCATTTATACTTAAATGATATATGGAACTTGAATGAGGAAAAATGTAGGAAATGTAATAACTATCAAATGTAATTAAGATGTTGATTTATGAAGAAGTGATTTGATTTGGTTTTCCACTTTAAATATTAAGTGGTTTAAAAGTGATGCGCATACATGCACATGTATCTCTGTCCCCTTTGGCCGCCTTCCATCATTAGAAACACAGAAAGCTTTGGGGTCTTTTCACATCCTGTTTGTACTTCTTTCACTGGAGCTCATGTTTGGTGTTTTTACATCTACATTCATGAAAAGGGGGAAAAACCGCCAAATCACAGCAGGTAGAGCAGCTGTCTGGTTTTACTTTCACTGTTCCACTGAATCCCCCCCCCCATGTTTATTCCTTCTGCCATCGGGAGGGGGAATAAACCCCACAACACACAGCAGCTGTTGATCCACGTTTGATCCCGTTCACTCAAAGCCGCCTGCCGAGGCACAGAAGTCTCTCTGAAACGTTCATACCTTTTTATTCTACAACAGAAAAGTCATTTTAAAGGCAAACATGAACAGGAAAAACTATTGGATCTCATGGCAGATAATCCTTTCCATTTTTTCCCCACCAAATATCAACAATGGATCAATATTGCTCCAACAACACTAATAATACGCAGGAAACTGACTAGAAAAAGGGAAATATTGTTTCATATTACCCCGAAGCAAAGCTCTTTGTTTGTGGGATTAGTTAAGGTTCATCCTCTGGACAACATGAATACGTCAACTAGTATTCCGGGTGTGGGGGAGGTGAGTTTCACTATGAGACATAGAGGTTTGTGAGGGATAAAAGAAGCGGCTCTTTGATCCAGGCAGGAGAGGTTCATCTTCCATTACTAGCAAGGACCACGTCATCCCCTGCGTCGTGTGTCATGACTGAACGCTTTGATTGATTTCGTCTGGCCGCTCGGGTTGGGTTGTGGGGGTCCGCCGTGCGAAAAGTTGGTAGAAGAGGGAGAGGAAAAGGAAAAAGAACCCGTTCCGCCCTGTCACAGGACTGTCCTCACCACTACACGGTCACACAGGCTTCAGGGATCTGCAGCTCAACTCTCTGAAACTGACATTAAGACAATTACAAAACTAAATAATAGGAATATCGTTTGAAGAAAATAATATACAATAATAACTGTTTTAAGGTGAAAAGTAAATAATAAAAAACAAATTGAATAATTAATACATCCGGTCCCGTGTAGGTAAGTGAAAACACAAGAAGACTTACTGAATACGTTTAAAGACGCCAAATATACATTTTGCTGATTTATTTCTCAAAAAAAAGAAAGTCACTGTTGTCTGTGAATGGCAGCTGTGGGGCGGGTCTTCATTCTCAGCAGCTCTGGGATTGGTCGATTGCTGCCCTGGTAAAAGTCCAGTCCTGTGATCCACTCGACATCTCTGACTCGTGAGCGGTGGAACCACGTGAGGTCTTCTACCCAATCCGACTCGGCTTGTGCACTCTGTCAACGCAAAATGAAAAGTCACGATATTTTGAATGTGACTTATGTTTGAGTTCATCGGGCCACGTTTCTCCCTTCTGTTGCTTCCTCTTCTCTAAAACAAAGTGGTGACATGTGGCGTGTGAAATAAGCCGGTAGCCTCTCAGATTTCCTGCAGTGAAATCCCTCTCAGCAGATTAGCATTAGCACGCTCATGCTCTCCAGAGGAGGAACCCTCTCCCCTTTAACACTTGCTGCTTCTTTTTCAGCCAAGTATTCGTAGCTGTAAGTGCTCACGTGGGCAAAAAAACGTTTTTCATCAGATTTGATGTACGAAGCGCCCGAGAGGATGAACCCGCCTCCATCTTTCAGAATTGGACTCATCATGTCGCTGCCTGTTTTAAAGGCTGAGTCGGTGTTTCACGTGACCAATGGTTCCTTTAACGAGCCTTCGCTCCTCGTGGGAACACCGACACGGGACCAGGACCCCCTACTGCTCTCTGCCGGGACCACTAGCGGGACAAGTCACAAGGAGACGGGTCGCGGTGGCGTGACCGCAGTGAGGTGTCCTCTTGGCATGTTACTTACTTTGCAGCTCTCCGAGTTGTCGGGTCTGTGAGGCCACAGGAAGGACACGGTCTGTAGCTCCCCGGTGCATTCCGAGACCGGCAGGGCCGAGTCCCTGCAGCCCGTCAGCACCGCAAAGAAGTGGGTGGGAACGGGGATGTTAGTGCCGGACACGAACCTGGAGGCACACACAGACGGTCGGTTGTGTGAAGATGCACTTTGACGCACGTCAGGCCGTCCACCAGATGAATTTTAAGACACAAGCTTTGGTTTCGGGCTTCAGGGCTCAGTGCAGAGCGGTCAAGTTCTTCATCAGCTGTTCATTTATTCTCTGACGTGTTGAATTAGTGAATGTTGAGGCCAGAAAACGCACACTATGCAGGAAATGTGTGTGTTATGGCAGTAGGTTTGGTACGGAGGGAACATGACTGCAGAAGGTACCACTTGTTCATCAGACCACAGCACCAAAGGATGCCAGCAGCAACACCTAGAACCAACTAAAAAACCCTAGTTATATTTCTAGTTACGGAATGTTGAACACGGCCGAGAAAGTAGATTCCATATGTTCCACCAGAGGAGATGTGAAATCCATGAGTATGCGTATTGATCTGGAGAGCAGAGATGATCACATCGTAGGAAACCTACTGCTGGATCTGCCCCGGAGTGTCGTACTGGCCGTCGTAGTTGTAATCGAAGGCCGGCCCCGTCACCACGTTCACCCCGTTGTACACGGAGGCGTATTTCTTCAGCAGGACGCTGTGGAAGTAGTCCCAGATCCCTGCAGCAGGAGACCAGACACGATTTAAATTCAAGGGGTAAAAACTGCAGTTGTTCGGCGTGGTTTTAACGAGCTGCTTACTCTTAAACTCGGGGTACATCGGCACCACGTTGCTCGTTAGTAGAGCATCGTATTCCTGATCCGCTGTCGCATTCAGACCTGCAAACACACAAGGACAGACAACGGGCCTCTGGCTGTTCATGCTGATGGTTAACGCTTTAACATTCAAATGAACGTCTTTAATCATCCTGCAAGGTTTTACTTGTGGTCTTTTTTCTCAGTTTTAAACACCACCACCTTCTGACCCTGCCGCCCCTTTAGATCTGCTCCTGCCTTGCTCATTGGCAGTCGTTACCTGGCAGATGGTGTTACTACATCAGCTCCACCAGCCTCTCCTCCACGCGTCTCACTCCCTGTGTGATCCCTTTGACTTAATAGGATCACTGGGTAATTAAAGGCCACAAGTATTTACCCTCTGCTGCACGGTCCAAACCAAACAGAAGAGCGGGGCAACAGTGTGCAGTTTTATATACATCAAACGCTTTTAGAGGCAAACTGCAATAATAACTTCCATGTGGGGTAATGGCCTATAGCTTGTATGTTGTATTTTATGTATGTAGTATGTTCAAGCCATCTGTGCGCTCACTTTGCCACAGCCGGCTGCACGCTTCATGTGACGCTACGTTGGGAGAGCTTGTTTGTTGGCTTGGGTCCGGGGTCAGAGGTGATGGAACAACATGGTCCTTGTCTCGCTGGTAGAGGCCTCTCAATCACAGTAATCCCGCCCTCAAGCCGCCCTGCTTTAAATGGACTATAATTCACTAAATGAACTTAGAGACTGAGACCATAAACTCATGTTTACAATGTTTACTGAGGGAATAAATCCACAGAGAAGTAGAGTCATTTCCTCATAGACGTCTATGGGAGCAGAGGAGTCGCCCCCTGCTGGTCACTACAGAGAAGTAGAGTCATTTCCTCATAGACGTCTATGGGAGCAGAGGAGTCGCCCCCTGCTGGTCACTACAGAGAAGTAGAGTCATTTCCTCATAGACGTCTATGGGAGCAGAGGAGTCGCCCCCTGCTGGTCACTACAGAGAAGTAGAGTCATTTCCTCATAGACGTCTATGGGAGCAGAGGAGTCGCCCCCTGCTGGTCACTACAGAGAAGTAGAGTCATTTCCTCATAGACGTCTATGGGAGCAGAGGAGTCGCCCCCTGCTGGTCACTACAGAGAAGTAGAGTCATTTCCTCTATTTAAATTTAAAACCAAAAATCTGGGGAGAAATGGAAATAGTCCGTGAAATGAAAGGCTGACACATTTTTATCAAGAAGTTGTTGCGTCATCATTTGTGTACCGAGATAAGGATCGGAACAGGCTGATATTCTCTGGAAGTAAAAATTCAGAAAAGTGTGTGCAAAGAGGGACAAAGAGCCAGTGAGTGCGTGTGTAACAGCCCCTCAGGAGGTGTTCACATACCCCACCCATCCAGACTCCCCCGGGGTCATCCAATGACTTCCCATGATGCACAGCGACTCGACTGCTCTACAGCAACGCTTTCCTTCTAAATGCTCTGACTGGGATAAACGCTTCATGGGGACAAACATCGTTTTCTGCATTTATGTACTTGTATGTGAAAGCGTGATGAAAAACAACTAGTTTCATTCTGGTAGATTCATTTATCAGATCACAGGTCAAGTATCAGCGCTGCGTTTGCAAAGGCAGGAGCAGTTCAAGCCTGCCGGCCGGAAGCACAACGGACGAACAGGAAGAACTTTATGTTTTGTACTTGTTGTTAGATATAGAAGAAAAGATTTCTATTGGCCCTAAAGTGGCGTGGAGCCACAATACAAGATCCAATCACACGCCATGTGGGTCTCCCAACATTAATGTCAACACAACGGACAAAGCGTGAGTGTTGTGCTTTGATTTCTGACCTTTCACTCCTCAACCAGGACAAGACTGTGACTCGCCAAATGAGCAGAAAACACTTTTGATTATCATCATATTGTAAATAAGGGTTGATAGAGGGATGAAGCTTACGCACTCGGTGGGTACAGGAAGGCGTACGTCAGGTTCCCAGCAGCGGCGTACTGGTCACAACGGGGACTCTGGGACGGTCGGAGTCTGACATCGGCCCTCAAACAGTCCGACATCGCCGGGGGCAACGGGTCCAAGTTCATCTACAAGAAAGGGAAAACCTAAGCTTTGGTTTGATATCAGTACTAAAACCCACGAGCATTTCACTCCATAACAACAATCACCGTCTTCTAGTGGTCCTGTCAAGGTTGACAACATGGTTTAATTCAATTTTGGAATTTTGGGAGGAAATAACTCTTTTACCGAAAGGTGGCGCTGTAGCAAAAGCCTGAAATGAATCAGGTCGCTTGATCATTGACACAATGCGTTGGCCGACGATCACTATCTAAACATGAACTAAGTATTAACCTCGTGCACTTTGAATGTCTTCCCTCACCGGCCTGTCGATGGTGAAGGAGCTCCACACAGGCATCAGAGCGTCGTGGCTGAAGGCCATGATGAACCCGTCCTGGTGGAGGACGCAGTAACTGTGGTCAGGCTGCAGCATCCGGGGGCGGCCGAACATCACGTGCTTCTTCTCCGCAGCGGCCTCTGAGAAGGACAAAAAGGTGCACTTCCCTTCAGGCATCTGACCGTCATCAGCAGGGAGATTAATACAACTTCTCTCCAACGATGTAGAGAAAGTTACACCAGGTAACACGAGTAAGATTCATGACACAAGAATCCAAAATACAACAAATATAAACACAAGTTGACATTCCTGACCTTCCTCTGCTGTCAGATTGAGGCGGCTGTTGATGTCGTTTCCACCCTAAAGAGAGAGCGAGACAAAAGAAAACCAAGTATTTATTAATGGAAATGAATGTTTTGTTTTACCTAGTACACATTAAAATACCTAAATATGGTCAGGTATAACATGCTTACTTTGTTACTACCATTATTACGATGACCCTTCGATGCCATGATGCTTTCACGAGTTCTAGAATTTATATCATGCTTATCACAACCTTTGTTACTCCAGATGAACCGCCCCCAAATTGATACCAAACGTGTGGCATGCCCGACGTCACCAACTTCCACAATTTATGTCCCAGAAACGTAGACTGGATGAAAGCCTGAGGAGAAATTTGCAGAAGGACTCTTTATACTTGACCGTAAGCATAGGAAAACCCACCAGGGCCGGACAGGAGCACCCCAGCGGGTCCATGGGGTCGAGGCCGGTCAGCGGACACCGGAGCGGTCCGCTTTGCTCGGGGGGGGGCGCCGGAGCATAGAAGGGCTGCCTCAGGACGTGGTTCATGCTGCCGTGGGTCCCGTTGTTCTCACCGGGGGAGATCTGCATCACGTCTGCATGGAACGACGACCGTTTAGCTTCGTGACGACGGTGAACAGCTTGGGTGTTACACATCTCAACTAAGGTTTAGTTAGCTTTAATACGGCTAGCCATGGTGCTAATGTCGAGTATTTGAGTTCCTCCTGCTGCTGAGGAACAAGAGAATAATAGTGACTCACTGTAATTCAGAGTCTGCGATTTACGCGCCCATGAACTCACCACACATGAGATTGTACAACTCGATGTTTGAAAAGGGTTCGATCTCGGTTTTATACTGGAACTTTGGTCCATAACTGACAAACATGGCCTGCAAGAGAAGAAGGCGGAAGACTGTTGAACGGTTGATTTTTTTTTTTTTTAAGTATCAAAACCTATTCAAAATGGAGACGCAATTTGCTCAACATTTGATGTCATCCAGTTTAACAGTTCTTGAATCCTCACATGCATGGTCTCCACATCATTGTCGTAGCCGTGAGTTCCCCCCGAGCAGAAGGTGAGCGACCCTGGATACCTGTGGAGACAGGAACACAGATCAGTCTGATAACCCCTCACATGCATTAGTGGTCCTCACTAAAACCTCTGCAGGAACTTTTTACTGTCCAAATGTCTCACTCTACAACACCATGAATGAATCTTTTAAGAAAATGCCTTTTGTCTTTGTCTTGTGAGTCACTGAACTGTTCCCTCAAATTTTAATATTTGGCAACAATATTTTTCACTGTGGCATGTTTATTCCTATAAAACACAAAACCATCTGCATTCAAACAGGACGTTCTGTTGCCTGAACATCGTAGGAGGGTTCACCTTCGGATCACCTTCGTTTTCAGACATTTCTTTAGGCTACATCTGTGATCAGGAAACATCTGTCGGGGAGGGGTGGGTACCTCTCAAACAGCCACTTTGGCTCCACCAGGACGTTAACGTCTTCAATGCGACGGCTGTTGGCAAAGTGGAGGCGCTTGGGTAGATCGGCCTTCAGGTACGGCTTCACCTTTTGGTCGGGCCGCTTACACTGCAATCACCAGACGCACAACCTCACATTTCAAATGATACATCTGTTACGGTCTGTTACATTCAGGTTGCACCACCACACGGGTCCTTGTTTCCTTAGAAATGATGTCATTTGTGTGAAAAGAATGAGCACTTACAGTCATGTTGGCCACCAGTTGGGCGGAGTCCACTGTGGGGGAGAAAGAAGACAAGTGCTCTATCATTACAGTTCCACAGAAAAAGCTCTCATGGGCAAACAGCGATTATGATGAAGGACTTCATGCAGCGAGACAAAACAAGACCCACCCAGACACCTGTAGCCATAGCAACGCCTCCATCCATTGAGCAGCAGACAAACATGTAGTTAGTGGTAATCTAAAGACAAGACGGTTTAACGCAGGCCAACACACGTCGGCTCCACAAAGGCCTGTCAGGGTGCCTCCCTGCTTAAGGTGCTGCTGGACCCACAGAAGATAAAGAAAACCTCCTTCCCACAATAAAAGGATCTGCGTTGCTACGTAGGCGGCAGCTGTAATCTTTTTCTTTTGTGTGTGTAACGCAAAGCGGAAAAAATCCTGATTGCAAATATTGCACGCAATCTGAAAACTTGCCCGACTGGTTCTATGTGTGACAGGTGAGATTCGGTGGTGCCCACAGGCATGTTGGTGCTTCTGGGATGACTGAACATTGATGCAAACACACAGACCTGAACACTTACAGACCTACAGACCTGAACACTTACAGACCTGAACACCTGAACACCTATAGACCTATAGACCTACAGACCTGAACACCTACAGACCTACAGACCTGAACACTTACAGACCTGAACACCTGAACACCTATAGACCTATAGACCTACAGACCTGAACACCTACAGACCTACAGACCTGAACACCTAAAGACCTACAGACCTACAGACCTGAACACCTACAGACCTACAGACCTGAACACCTGAACACCTATAGACCTACAGACCTACAGATCTGAACACCTACAGACCTACAGACCTGAACACCTATAGACCTACAGACCTACAGACCTGAACACCTGAACACCTATAGACCTGAAGACCTGGAGACCTGAACACCTACTGACCTACAGACCTGAACACCTATAGAACTGAAGACCTGGAGACCTGAACACCTACAGACCTAGAGACCTAAATACCTGCAGACTCGTAGACCTGCAGACCTGAAGACCTGCAGGGTCTGAGGCGTCACCTGGACTCTGTGAGGGTCGTGAAACTGCTCCAGTATTTCTACTCACACGGGCCGTTGTCTCTGGTCCTGATGCGTCCTAGCGCCCCCTCGGTGACCCAGTAGTTCTTGATGTCGCCGACCAGCTCCTGAAGAACCTCCTTCCTGTCGCAGCTTGTTTCCTCCATGCCTGCAATGGCAGCCAGCCGCTATATCAATCCCCCTATATAGCAGAATACACTTGATGAGGTTCCTCTGAAGCGAGCTAAAAAGATGGTGGCCGACCCCTCTCACCCCGGACAAAACCTGTTTGTGCCCCTTCCATCTGGCAGGAGGCTGAGGTCCATCAGGACTAAGACCTCCCGCCACACCAACAGTTTCTTCCCGTTGGCAGTCGGGCTCATCAACAGAGCCGGTCCCCCACTGACTGACTATAACACTCCACCGGTCACTCACCTTCATACTGCACACGTCACTTTAGCTGCAATTCATCACTTTGTCACCTGTCACTTTGTTACTTGTTCGTTAGTGCACTTTATGCTTAATATTTTAAATGTTTAACTTTATTCCCTTGTTTTATACTAACTCATAGCCTTATTCTACTAACCCATTGCATTAGCATTTCATTTTACTTTATTTTATTACTTGTGCACTGTTGTCTTGTCTGTCTACTGTCGCGCACTAACCGCCAAGACAAATTCCTTGTATGTTTGACATATTTTGGTAAATAAATGTTTCCTGATTCCTGTATTTCACACCATTACGCTGCAGGTGCTTCGTTGCGTGGTCGCCGGTGCCCCGGGCTTCTCCATGTCGCATGTTGAAGTGTCCCTGAGCAAGACACCTAATTGGCTAAATTACCTGTAATGTCATGTAATCCCTAATTGCTCCCCGCACTAAAGATGTAATGTAAGTTGCTTTGGATAAAAGCGTCAGCTAAATGACCTGTATGTATATATATGTATATACATATATATATATATATCGGTATATACTGTATATATACGATGAAAGTTGGAACTTGAAGCTCTAAGCAGGGACAGCTGAGTCTCTGCCATCTCCCATAATGCACCACATGAGAAAGAGTTTTCACAACGCTTCTGGCTCAGAACTACCAACGTCTCCTGGTTCCCGGTTCGGGGGTGTTGCCACGGGAACGATTGGCTTCTGCAGACAGCAACGATGAAACTTAACGTTTTGAACGTGTTGTTGGTTTCACACGTCTCCGAGGGGAAGTCCCCCCCCCCCCCCCCCACACACACAGATACACCTTTCCAGTTTGTTTTGTCTGTTGCTCTGAGTGTCTTACAATGGTGCGGATTGGCTTACGTTGTAGTTCCTCTCATCAGGGCTTTTGTACCTCTAACAATGACATGTTGAGAGCTGTCTGCTGCTGCCAATCTAAAGCGAGTTTCTCTGCACGCTCAGAGAACAGAACTGTGATCTGAACAACAGCAACACTTGTGTGAGTTAATCGGGAAAGTGACGAATATGTGAGCAACATACAACACATTTCAAAGCTCATTTATTTATTTATAACGTTTTCTACTCATTTAAAGGGTCTTTTGTAATCTTATCCCAAACGTGTGTAACTTGAGTCTTGGTATTGGAGGCACTAATATGTAGCTCACACATTGAATAGAACATTGATCCCGGACGTTGTGGTGGTTCGTTTCAGTCAACGGGCCGAGCGTACCGTGATCTGCCACGATGACGATGTTCAGGCAGCGGTGGAGGCCGATCTGCTTGAGGCCGTTCATGAGCTGACCGATGACTCTGTCCACCCCCTGGAGGGCCTCGATCACCTGGAACACAGGAGCACCTCTCATCCTCTCTCCATGGATACCACGCCAATGAACAGATACACTGGGACTAATCTAGTCTTTCACAGGGCGATAATAACGTCATTTATTTTATGTCTGTGGTGAAACACTGCTAAAGGACTTTGATTGGTTCTAATGGCAAATTCATTATATTTTTATGAAGATTGTTCAGCCGTTGTTTGAAGGACTTCAGACTTTTTAAATTGATCTACAACACACTTATCTGTGTAAACGTGGTCAATTGCCACCAATAAATGGCCCTAATTCGTTCCGGGTCGATTGGTATCAATATCCTTTAAAGCATTGTGTGAGTCAGCGGGTCAAGTGAACTTACCCCCCCGCTCACAGGACCGTAGCTGTGTCCAGATTTATCCGGTTCCTCGAGGTACAACGTGTAGAAATCTGGTCTGGGAGCAAAATGTCTGGTGTTTTTTTGCTCTAAAAGCCACTGAAAATATTGTGGCAATTGCTGAACACGAGTGAGCTCATTGCAGCAAAACTCACCTTTTATCATCCGGCAGCTGGAGCCACTTCAGCACAGTCAGCACCCGCTCTTCAAATGGCACTTTGCTGTAGAGTCACAAAGGAGAGAGAGAGACAGACAGACGGGTATTCAGAACTGTGACTGCAATCAGCTTCCATCTGAAGCTACCTGAGAATTCAGTTTGCCTCTACAGGAACTTTATTTTGTCTAACCACGTTGGAGAGAAGAACATACTGTGGATTTGAGTGTCTTTGTCTGGACAAAACACATTTAGTTTGGTTTAGGGAGGCCTGAATGTAAAGATTGTTGAAAGAAATGATCCTTTTTGTGGTGATGACAGACTCTTCTCCTCCGGGTTTGATCGCAGCACAGAAGAAATGAGGTCAAGCCAACCAAGGACTCCAGTACTTACAGAATCATGTGATACATAAACAGTGTCTTTTCTGTAAGCGTCAATTCCCCCAGTTCATTACTAACATTAAAATATTTATTTTTGTATTCCAACATTTCTGAAATCTTCTGTTGGCAAATGAGGCATTATTTTGTAATAAGACATTTAGCGATACAATGAGATCATGACCTCCATGTCCTAAACTGGAGTAACCATGGACACCCCCCCCACCCCCGCACTTAGAGGAACACATGTGTGATCGTACCCGTTGTAAAGCCTGTAGATGTCGGGGAAGCTTCCGTTGATTTTGACGTCCGACCCCGGCCAGAAGAAAGTGCCGGCCTTCAGCCCCTGGAACTTCGCCGTGTGCCAGATCTATGAGGACAGAGAGGACGCTGAAACGCAACACCACTGATGTTCTACATTCCAAACAGGCTTATTCCAGGAGACATGTGCTACTAGAAGTGTGATATTAGCAAAACCGTATTCACACTAAATTAATCTGCTCCTCCCACTGAATAATGGAAGACGTATCGTCTCATTAAGGGACATACTCATAACCAGAGCATAATGGTTTTCAAGGCGAACAAAACAAGACGTTTCTCTCAGAAGGCGGTAGAGGTCAGAAGAAGTCAGATGAGGTCTTGATCTGTCCTCGCGTGGCCTCACAAAGAAACCCCAGGACACTCACAGGCTGTCCCAGGTACCAGGCAGGGTTGTCCTTCTCCGGACTGGACAGGCTGTAGGAGGCGTTGAACACCGGGTCGAACATGGTGTTATCAATCAGACCGTTGGACTCAGGGTAGAGACCCTGAGGAGCACAGGGCAGAAGAGGGCAAAAAGGAGGAGATGAAAGATGAGAGAAGAAGAGTGACACTAATCTGGAGATGAACTAGTGTCTCTGCTGTGATTCAACGATTCAATCATTGATTTGTGATCGAGATCATTTATCCTGAGTGAGCTAATGTGAAGAGAAACCTGCGCTGAATCGAGTGTCTCTGAATATTATAACAAGGTGGCCGTTCACGTTATTTAATGCTGTGATTCCTTCATATGTTTCTCAAGTAAACAGTTTAAAAGCGGAACAGGAAGAGTCAATCAATCGCCAATGTCACTCAAAGCGGACCTGCCCACAGTGATCAATACTCGAAATGGGCTCTAAATATATTTTTGGGGCGAGTTGTATGAAAAGTTCATTTCCACTCGTCAACCTGTATTTTAAATCAGAGTCAAACCAAACCTTTCACTTCACATCCGTCACTTAAATGACTAAAAACGTCCGTATTTGATGACGTATTAGACGGAGCGATAATCAAACGGCATGAGACACCACACGCGTGCTCCTGCGGGCGAGGGCCTGGTGTTTTACCGTGACGATGGTGTAGTGGTTGGGGAATGTCTTGGTGGGGAACACCGCCTGCATGTACGGCGCCGACGTGCCACACTTCTCTGAAAGGTGGAGAACAGACGACAAAAGGACATCAGCTGCTACGCGAGCGGCGCTCTGCGATTCAAAGGCACACGTCCTGTTTTCTCCTTTCAGACGCTTCATCAGTTTCATGATTCAGAGACTTCACCAGAAGTGCAACATCTCCAGGAGCAGACTAATGATTTGGTGACTCAAGTACTTAGAAAAAAAAGTTCATTTTCCTTCTGTGGTGAATTCAACTGAAAACAAAAGCTGTTGAAGAAAATCTAGATGAGTCATCGTTCAGAACCCGTCCAAATACAGCGGGCTTGTAAACAGAAGCCCTTGGGTTCCTCATGTTAGAGCTCTCCAGCTTTAGTTCTACTTAAACGCGCTACATGGCTGCAAGATGTTGACACAAATGTCTGTTTCTACAACACGTAAAAATGTCCATAATGTGGGGACACTAACTGAGCTTGTCCAGGACGGGGACGAGAGGGCTCCACTTCTGCAGGTACTCGGCCCTCAGTCCATCCAGAGAGACCAGCAGCAGCGGCTGCTGCTTGAAGCTGGGGGGATACGCAACATAGATATCACCTTTAAACTTCACCAGTTCTCTTTTATATTACATGTTTTCTGAAATCTCATGTTTAAATGTGCAAATGTCAACCTGGATTTAGGAGAAATCTATCGACTTGATAGTACTTCACTGTGTATATCAGACGTGGTCTTTCATGGTATGAGAGTTAAACAGCCCTAAATATCATCAAAGAGTGTATTGAACACAGTCTCACCCTGATGGACATGTGGGGGTCAACAGGTCGTCGCACTCGTCCTCCACCCACGCTCTCTCTCCTACAGTCAATTAAAACCACATCAGTACGTTAAATCAAAGTAACCATGAAGTCCTTGATTACTCTGCTGGTCAAACATTCCTAAACTCCTCAGCATGTGGACCATCTCATCTGCAGCATAAACTAAATACTTCAAACAAAGTTTAAGTGGCTCTGCATTTCCTGTGTTAGACCTTTTCAGAGAGCGTTGAATCACGTAAAGACACCAATGAAACGCTGAGCTCCTCCAGCTCGTATAAACGGGGTTTGAGAGGCTCTCAGATTCTGAAAGGAGAAGACATGAAGGCCGAGGTGGAATGGGACCAAATGCCCTTAAAAGTCTCTTCTAAATCAGATCTATTTCCAGCTGTATCAACTGCTTTTGTTGTGTCATTGTGGGTCTTTTTAAGATGAACCATGGTGATGTTTAACCTTTTTGGGGGGACATTTGGAGAGTGTTTAGAGGAGAAAATACGTTCACTTACTCAACGAAAAAAGACGTTTACAAAACCGGTGGTTTCGAGGCAACAATCTCAATCTCAAAGATGTTTCCCTCTAAACAGAGTTGAGGCAGGTGAAGTTAATATTTCAGAGACCTTTGCCGATCTTCATGTCTGTCCTTGTGTCCATGCACTCACCTCGGCAGACCTGCTTGTAGTTGGTGCAGCAGTCACCGGCGGAGAGGCAGTCCTCGGAGCAATGGCACCGGCTCTGCGTCATCCTCCGCTCCCCACAGCGCAGCCTGGTGCACTCCCACTGCTCAGCTGCAGGGACACAACCTCCTGCTAGTGACCTCCTGCCAGCGACCTCCTGCCAGCGACCTCCCGCCAGCGATCTCCACCAGCCGGAGGCGCGGTGACAAGAGACGGAACCGAAAGGTTGTAAATGAATGGAGGCGGCGTCTCACCGGGGGCGCTGCAGATGTCGTGGTAGTCGTGGCAACAGCTGCCACTGACATTGCAGTTCTTGTCGCACCTGCAGCCGGGGACGTCTCCGTCGTAGGGCTCGTAGCATCGGCCCCTGCAGGACGTGTGGGGGACGACTGGCACAGGAGGACAGGGCAAAAGGTTCCCTAGATTTGAGTCTGTGTTTCTGGAGACTCGCCTCTCGCCCCTCATTGTAAGCACGTGGATGACCTGCTGTGACGTTACCATGGAGACACAAAGGTCCTGGACCTCAGGGCCTTCAGCTGCACATTTTAGCGTGGCGTGCGACCACTGAACATTCCACTGAGCTACACGTCCAGCGCTGCCCTCTGACACCCGACACGCCTTATTGCGTTCGTCTGCCTCACTCGCTGACTTTCACTGCACCCACTCGCAGAAACTCACAAACAATAAATGGTGGATGGTTCCAGAGCAGCAGGTGGAGAACATGTCTCAGCACATTGGTTGTCATGAGTTTTATGTACAGCAACAAAAGGTGAAACCCAACGAATGGTAACCTGCGGAGTGACTCGGCATCACCTGAGTTCACGGGGTGAGTCAGCGACGAGGGTGATTGTGAGCTGTAATCAGCTGACTGATCCGATAATGATTCACAATGTACAACTTCGAAATGCGAGCTTTATCTAGCAACCTGTTACAGAAGTTTATTTTGAAAAGGCACCGTGTAACAAATCGAAAAGTCTTTGGCAAATGCCTGTGAGATCAGTGTGTGCGTGTGTGTGTGTGTGTGTGTGTGTGCGTGTGTGTGTGAGTGTGAGCGTGTGTGTGCGTGTGTGTGTGTGCGTGCGTGTGTGTGTGCGTGTGTGTGCATGTGTGTGTGTGCGTGTGTGAGCGTGTGTGTGTGTGCGTGTGTGCGTGTGTGTGTGTGTGTGTGTGTGTCTGACAGCACCTTTGTTTCGACATCTCTGCAAGTCCAGTCCAAGACCGAGTCCAAGTCCGAGGATTAGGGTCACACACGGCACACACACACACACACACACACACACACACACACACACACACACACACACACACACACACACACACTATAGTGTGTTCTGATACAAATACAGCGCTCGTCCTCACTTCACTTCCCATCTGATTCATTATAACAGTTTGTGCACCAATAACAAGGGCTTCCAAAACCGCCAAAGTAAAAGAAACGAGGCATAAGAGTCCTGAAGTCTGCGTTACAAACTGTCGCTGGCTGAAAGTGAACGATGGAATCAGCCAAGGAGGTTTCAAAATAAAAGCATATGCATCTGGTGTTTGCTAAAACGTGTTGTTGATAAAACACGTTTTAGGGAAATTCTCATTTTACCACAGGAGCTTTGATAAAAATCATTATTTCCATCAATACATCACCATATTTTCACACGTGTGGGTTTGTTATCAAAGACGTTCCTGTTCTAAAGACGGACACGCGTGAGCTGTCTTAAGTCCTGCAGATTGATGCGCGATGGGACAAAGTTTTATGTTCATCAACAGCTCTGATGTGTTATGTATGAATATTGTTCATCCTCACATTTATCACAACCTTTCAACTGACTGATTAATACAGACCAACAACCAGTCATTCATTCCAGTCACTGTGGTAGTAACTGTGTATTATTAACAGGTGCATCATTTTATGTTGTCATTTTCAAAAGTCTTCATATTATTGTCTTAACATCTACATGATACAATATGTGAGCTGATACTCACAATAACCTTCTTCTGCTGCAACTCCTTCAGGAAAGCCATAGCTCCCGTGGAGGTGTCCGTCTCCTGCCTGTCAGAGCCTCTCTGAGCAGCCGGCCGCGACCTCCGGACTTTAGGTGTCAGCAACAGATAAGAAACCGATTGCCTGGAACTCCAAGTTAAACTCACGTTTTGGTGTTTCCACGTACGACAAACAATAACTTCAGACGCTTTTTGGACTTTTTATCATCTCTGAAAGCTCAGCTGGTGGAAGGCGAGACGTAAAAAGTGTTCACCTGGGAATCGTCTAACAAACAGAAGAGCAGTCGCATGCTTGTGAATTTCAATGAGAGCTGATAACTGGGAAACACAGCTGAGTTTACGAGACAGCTTTAAAGAGTAACTGCAGCCGCCGTATCTGATAATGGAAAATAAATGAGAAAAAACGCCAAGCACTCGCTGTATGAAGGAGGACCAGATGGTCCGATTGGTTCATCGGAGACCTTGAGCTTCTCCTGTGTATTTGACTTGTGAAAGACGAAGACCTTTGCACTGGAGGACCTCCTCTGATTGGCAGTAAAGAGTAATAGAGGAGGACATGATGGGTGAGCCAAGTCACTCCTCAGTTTGTGCACTTTTTAAAATAACGGTGCGAGAGCAGTAAAACTGAATGCTGACTCAGACTCTGAATTAGACCAAAATGACCTTCATGAAGTGAAAACACTGTCACGGAGCTCTTGTAAACCTTCAAAGCCACCACATGTGTGTGTGTGTGTGTGTGTGTGTGTGTGTGTGTGTGTGTGTGAGCGTGGAGGATCCCCCTACATGGTACCAGTGAATGAGTGTACGCACGAGATGACGTGTTACGTCAGCTGTAAATAAAGTTTGCTTCTATGTGCCTGCGTAAAACAACACACGGCGACAGCTGACTACAGTTCATTTGATTCACGTTTTAGTATCTGTGACCATTTCAGTGACCGGGACACAATGATGGAACAACGCTTTGTGGATGTAAGAGACAGAATGACGTCCCTGTGACTCTATGAACACCGTGATGAGTTTTCTAAATCTCTAAAAAGACGTCTCAGGTTCTCCGATGTGATCCAAGGCTGCCTCTCATTTTACAACAGTCCATCCAGGAATTGTCAATGGAAGACGCAAAGCAGAGTGGTGGGAAGGCGAAGGGGGGACGTCTGCACCTCACGTTGCTGTTTGTGTCGATTATCCCAAACCAGACGTTGATGCTAGAAACGCTTTCAGCCAATCAAAAGTCAGAGCAGCAGCAGTTCAATTCTCCTTTTATTTGAAAGACCACAGGAATAAACATGGCTTCGTCTGCGCTCTCCAGTCATTTTATGGGTTATTTTCTATTGATAACCTTGACAGCTAGCTGTGTTAACTCATCAGTGACTAAAGGAAACAGGTTGTGAGGAGGAAAGAGGAAACATTTTGCCCGTATACCCAGGTCCTTATACTTGCAGTTTTCTCTGTGTTGACTAAAAAGTACAAAGAATCAGCCAGGTGGAAATAAGAGAAAGGAGATCTTCCCTTTCAGGGAGAATCACTTTTGTCACCTCCTTTGAACATCTGTTACACTGGATTCATACTGTAACAGATGCCATTGTTATTATGATGCCACGTAATAAATATGACAAGCTGTATAAAAATATACACCTGGATGATCAGCTGAGAAACAAAGGGACCCTGAACTGTCACCGGTTTTTGTTTGTGGTCATTGCTTCTGCATCTTTTGTTTTATTCGTTAACCACATGAAATGGTCTAAAACTCAAAATGTAAGTGATCATTTAGTTGTGCGGGAACGTCATTTTGTGGGGAATATGGTTGAGGCAATAGTTTATTTGTGTTATACATATTTTATGTTAACCGTCTCTAGTAGCAGTTGGAGCATATCTCAAGCTTGGCTCAGGATTCTTTTCTTGTTGATTGCTTCTTCCTTTTTAATCTTTACAAAAGCCTCAGGATGGCTGGTGTGTTTTCATGAGTAGATTACTTTCATCAGTAGGTTCACGTGGATCGAAGCCAAAGGTTGGACAATTGGTAATAACATAGCATACTATTATCAGTTAACTGGTGCTGGTGTGTCTGCCTTTAGACAGAGACTAATGCTAAGCTACGCTACGCTAAGCTGCAGAGGCAGCAATCGTCTTATCTCACTACTATCAATAATGCATTTCCAAAAATATCAAACCATGCCTTTGCAAAACTTTGCAGGGATGTTGTATGTTTTTGCCTTTTTCTATTCCTGAATGTGTTTTTCTGACTTTTTAGAAATATGAATATGTGGTTTCTGTGCAGTTTGCTATGAGAAGTCCTCACAATGATATTAGAACTGTGACAGAAAAATAACTGACAATGCAAGATTATAGAGTATTTTATGAGAAAGAAAAGACACGTTCAAAAATGTTTAAATTCTAAAGCGCTGGCTGGGTTGTAGGAGCATGTGTTCACGATGACGTACTATACGTTTTTAATGAAATGTGCGATGGCTTCCTTCATCATTCCTGTGCTAGCTGTTTTATCCTCTCTTGTTTGTGATAGCACTAAATATTCCAAACTTTTTGTTTTATTGTTAGAAATGATGATTTTTCTAAGCACTTCTGAGCCAGTTCCAGGAGAAGAACCATGTTTGCCGTGTAGCTGCAGGGATTCTACAAAGGCCGACATCCTGAGTGTGTGTGTGTGTGTGTCTCTGCGTTTCTAGTCGTCACTCTCGAAGGTGTGCAGGTAGGTTTTGAGGCTCAGCATGCTGGTGAAGGTCAGGTTGGTGGACCGGAAGAGGTCCAGGCCCGTAAGGATCTCCACGTCTCGGACCCGGGCCGTGTGAAGCTTCAGCAGGTCCTCCACCCACTGCGACTGGTCCTCTCCACTCTGCAGAGACACGGACGGACGCGGTTAGTCGCCGTGAAGACGGTATGCAACACGAGTCAAAAGATGGGTGTGATTCCAGCCAAGCACCGTAAATAGGAGGCTAGGAAGTCGTCTGGCAGGAGGCTGAGGTCCATCAGGACTAAGACCTCCTGCCACACCAACAGTTTCTTCCCGTCGGCAGTCGGGCTCATCAACAGAGCCGGACCCCCACTGACTGACTCTGACATCCCACCGGCACCAATCACCAAGTCAAATTCATGTATGTCTGACATATTATGGCAATAAATGATTCCTGACACGATCGTCTCTGGTCGCGTGTGTGTCTCTTCCGTGTGATTGTTGCAGATGGTGTTTTATATTGTTCATTCTGTCTGATCTGCAATCACCACATTCTGCCTCTTCGTCAACTTAATTAGTGGTTGTCAATAAGTGTTTTTTCAGCACAAACACCGTTGTCCGAATTCGGGAATAGAGATCCCATGAACATGAATGTCTCCCCTCTCACTGGGTTTAATGACATCTACGTTTCATTGGGTTCAGCTTCTTAGCCACTTAACAAGACAAATTGCACACATGCTCAGGCTACACAGCCTTCAGAATTATAGATTGAGAGTTAAGTAAACAAGTTTGGCATCTTTGCTTGATGAATGACTTAATGACTAACTGATTGTATTCTGTGATAAACGAGTTCCCGTTTGCTTGGAGCGCTGCATTCAAATACGGCAAGGCACCACAATAAAAGTTCTGCATACCTCTGCGAGTATTGACACGTATCTGTGATATGAATCTATAAGAGACCAAGCAGGTTCTGCCAATTGAAAACAGCCGGTCTGTTCAGCAGATTAAAGGACGGCTCCACAACACGTGGCTCATTTACTACGTGCGTTATGTAATCAACATGGTTTTATGAGGGATCGTACAGACATTTAGGTGAGTTGTCTCACCGAAACCATTTGATTTCAAACTGCAGGCGAATCATCAAACTGCTCGATAACTCAAAATGTTTCAAGTGTTTTCTGTAATTTGCTTCTGGTTTTGTCGGTGGAGATAAATCGGGCGGTTCTTCAAAGGGAAGCCAAAGCTTCACTTGTTAAAGCTGCGTTCTTTCTAGTGACCACGGGGCGACTCCTCTGGTCCTACAGAAGTCTCTCTTGATTTACTCCCTCAGTAGACATTGCAAACATAAGTTTATGGTTAGGGGACCCAGGACGGAACCATGAGGAACTCCAGTAGTAAGAGAACAAGGTTCTGACACAGATCCTCTCCAGGTTACCCGGTAGTTCAGGCCATCAAGGTAGGACGAGAGAAGGGAGAGAGCAGAGCCTGAGACACCAAGTTCCTGTAGGGAGGAAATAAGGATCTGGTGGTTGACTGTGTCAAATGCAGCAGAGAGGTCCAGAAGGTCGAGGACAGAGGACAGAGAGGAGCTCTAGCAGTGTGGAGTTGATGGTGGGTTTCTTCAGGAGAGGGTTGACTCTTGCCTCCTTCAGAGAAAACAGCCAGATAACAGAGCGTTGTTGATGAGACAGGTGAGGAAAGGAAGAAGGTCAGGAGCGATAGATTGTAGAAGATGTGATGGAATGGGGTCAAGAGGGCAGGTGGTGGACGGGCAGAGGTTACTAGGGTAAGAACTTGGTTAGGAGACAGGGGGGTAAAGGAGGGAAGTGAGGGCGATAGAGGTGAAGCCAGTGGGTTTGAGAAAGAGGAGCGTATGTCAGCTCTTTTTTGGTAAAGTAGTTAACAAAGTCTCCTGGAAGAAGGCTGGAGGGGGGAGGAGGACTGGGGGGGTTCAAGAAGGCTGGAAAAGATAGAAAATAGTTTTTGTAGGTTAGAAAATGAGGACTCAGTTCTAAATTGGTAGAAAGAGCTTTTGGCAGCAGAGATAGAAGCAGAAAAAGAGGAGAGAAGAGAAGGTCAGAAGGTGGATGAGAACAGAGCGATGAGAGTCGAGGACGAGGTGAGGGGTCTCCACAGTGCCAAAGGGCCTCCAGCGACCAATAATCAATCACAAGATTGATGCTCAGGCCAAAGGTCACTATGTAGTGCACTGAAATATCTTCTTCTTGATTGTGATCATTGTGACAAATGCAGAGGACAAAAAAATGCATCCATGCAATAATTTGTCATATTTACTATTTGAGTCTTTAATAAAAAAAGAAAAGTCCTTCAGAAA